CAGGCACAGTGACTGTAGTCCCAACACTTTGGGAGGCCGACGATCGCTTGAGGCCATTTCTAGACCAGCCTGGACAATATGGTGAGACTATCTCTACAAAAAATAAAAATAAAAAATTAGCCCAGCGTGGTGGTGTGTCCATGCAATCCCAGTTACTCTGGATGCTGAGGCTGCAGGATAGCTTGAATCCAGGAGTTGGAGGTTACAGTGGGCTGTGATTATGCCACTGCAGTCCAGCCTGGGCAACAGACTGAGACCCAGTCTCAAAAGATAACGTTTATTTTTTTAAAAAAAAAAAAAACAAAAAACTATGCATGTATATAGATAGGTGTATGTAAAATACTTAGTTCAAAGAAAAACATGTATATTTCTCACAGAAATAGGGTTTTTTTTTTTTTTTTTTTAAAGAAAAACAGGTAGCTACATATTAGTTTGAGGAAGGGGGAACAGGGATGTGATGTGCCTGTATCCCTGACTTTAGACGATGGAAGGAGCTAAGCAAAACAACTGAAAAAAGACCGACCGTTTGAAAAATACAACTAATTATTAACTCATATGCACACACGCAAAAATAAACTTTTAGAATTGAGCTGCACTAAGTGAGTAAACTTGGCTCATCATATACTCTTTTTGTCAGATGTAAACAAAAAAGTTCAGTTATTAAAATTGAACCCCAGAATTAAAATTGCAAAAGCTTAAAGGGGCAGTTCTGAGAAAAGGATCTTCAGTATTGAATGTGTGGGCTCCACCAGGGTTGAAAATCCTGCACGATTGATGAAACACGATCCAGTTAAGCATAGTAATTTTCAAATATTATCCAATCAGGTCGCTACTGTTTCTAAAAACAGAAACCGAGCAAGGGCTTTAGAGTTGCAGCTCTAAAACTCCATTGCAACTAAGCTCCTTTGTCCTGATGAGGGCCTAAACCAAGTCGACAGCCTGTAAGTGCACCCATGGTAAAGCGCTGCGCAAAGCAAGAGCATTTTGCGTTTCAAAGCTTTGTCATGATGGCGCTGCAGAAAGCGAGCGAGCTAGGCCTACCTGGTGGGGCTTTCAGAGGACGCCAACGTGGGCGCCAGTCACGCCAGAAGGGTCACCGTCATTCCCAAGGACAGACACCTCTCTAGCCACTCCTGCGGAGAGGGCGTGATTAAGCCATGAATTTTGCCTACTATCCCAGAAGCATTTCTTAGGACCACCCAATTTCGGAAAAGGCTACTTTAGTAATATTGACCCAAGAACGCAATGTCCGCACTTTAACCTTGCATAATAAAAAAGCCTCAAGCCTGGGACTAGGCTTCAACCTTGGTTCGTTACAGTTATGACTAATTAGCTTGGGGTCCTGAGATGCGGGACTTCGGGCTACTTTAAAAAAAAAAAAAAAAAGCAAAAAACAGGTGATCTAAAATTCGACTTTAACTCGGTGCATTTGAATTCACCTTGCTATCTTTGATAGCCTCATCTGGCAAGAATTTACTACTCAACCTATGTTAAAGTTCCTATTGACTCTCCAAGTGATTCTAATATAAATGAGGGCGTATTGCATTTGCTTGGGGAATTTCATCTGTGTACTACAGCTCTTTTCCCGAGGTGTGTAGGTGGCTCTTAAAAGAGCCGTTGGGTTAGTAGAAGTTTCCAACCGAATTTACCTTTTCTTGGGTGCCGCTTTCTTGGGTTTGGCAGTCTTTGGCTTCGTCACCTTAGCCTTGGCCGCCTTGGGTTTTATAGCCTTAGTTTTAGCAGGGCTTTTAGCTACTTTCTTGGGTTTTACAGCTTTGGGTTTTTTGGGACTCTTAGAGGATTTCCTTGTTGCCGCAGACTTTTTAGCATTTTTTGGAGTCTTGACGTTCTTTTTGCTAACCCCCGTGGCCTTTTTGGGCTTTTTAGACGCACCCGTTGCCTTGGTTTTTGCAGCCACCCTTGAAGTTCCAGGCTTGGTTTCCACGGAGGATGCCTTCTTGTTGAGTTTGAAGGAACCCGAGGCGCCGGTGCCCTTCGTCTGCACCAACGTTCCCTTGCTTACCAGGCTCTTAATACCCAGCTTAATGCGGCTGTTGTTCTTCTCCACGTCGTAGCCTGCGGCCGCCAGCGCCTTTTTAAGAGCAGCCAACGACACACCACCACGCTCCTTGGAGGAGGAAGCAGCCTGTACGATCAGCTCTGATACGGAAGGGCCAGCAGGCTTTTTCTTAGTGGCCACCGCAACCTTAGCAGGTTTCTTTGCCTTCTTGCTAGCTGAAGGTCTCTCAGGAGCAGCAGAAGCGGCGGGAGCAGGAGGCGCCGTTTCGGACATGGTGACTAATACAGCACACCAAGTAAACTGGTATAAACCTGACCAAGCAGGATGCGAAAAAAAAGGCCCCGACTCAGCCTATTTATAGGGTGGGACTGCGCAGTGATTGGTGCCCGTCAGTGCCCGCCCCTCGCACCCTAGCGCCCCCTGCGCTCTGCAGAGGGTTTCCCCCAGTCTCAGAGAGCACCTGGGGGCCTCTAGGGCCTATGGTCCCGCTCCCCTCAACGCAAGCAAACACACCGAAAAAGCCGCTCCGATTGCCTCATTGTGAAGGAAATTGTAGGCCGACTGCCGCCCAGTAACATCAGAGGGTGCCGCTTGTCTCTCAAAAAGCAGCTCTTTTTTAGGGAGTAGGTTGATGGGGAGCGGTTTGCAAATGCAGCCCCACAAGCATCCAAGGAGTTTTATTAGAAATTTTTAGAGGTCCGTTGCCAGAGATGTTAGTTTTTAATTTGCAAGAAATGTAAAATACAGTGTTTGAATAGTTGGGGAGGAAGAGGAAAGTGCGGGTTTTAGGCCGTGTTAGGGCTAGTAGTCATCAACTCGATTACATTTTCTGGCAATGTTTTAGAGCGATGTGTCTCGCGAATACCTTTCACGTCAAAGAAGAATGAATCGTAGACAACACCAGAATTCACTAACGCTGCAATTAATACTCAAACTGCAAGTGTGGAAACGTTTCTGCACTTGTAACTTACTTCCACAGTCCAATGTGGGATGCACTTCAGGAATTTCCAATGCCCTTTTCATCCATACAACATGCCCCAAATGGGTGTTAAGGTTTACAACCTGTGTTCCATGTCAGCATATGCAATGAGCGCACCATGACATGGTCAACTCATTGTTTTATTCAACAAAGATTTATGGGCCTCACAAACCTGCGAAAGGCGTTAAATGCTGGGTCCAAGAAACTGGTTCCCCGACAGGCATTCTGCTGGGGAGTTAAGTCTCCTTAGTGTGAAAACAAAGGAGTTTAGTAAGCACACCCTGGGGATAAGATTTTATGGTAACCTCTCTTTAGCTTGTTTGTGGCCGTTAAGAGCATTTCAAATTATCAATAAGCTAAAACGATCTCACATTGCCAATCAGAGACTCAGCTAACGGGAGAACAAAAAAACTATTAAATCGACATCCACTTCTACAATCCTATTCTGGATAACCCCCTAACACAGGGGAGAGTGAGGGAATGTGGTCTATTTCCGTTCGTGCTGTTGTAGTTTTTAAATAAGTACGAACTGTGCTAAGTAACCTGAGCTTTTTCCCTTTTTCTTCAAACAATGTGTCAACCAAATAATGTAGTAGTCCCAGATAACTATTGTACCCATCTTCTTTACCAGTGTTTCCTTCGTCTATTTTATTGAGAAGCCACGCATTCAAATATTTCACGTAATTTCTTAAAATTTGGAAAATAACACTTGGAAACTATACATCTTGGTTTGACGGCTAGTCAGTTATGAATCACAGGTATACAAAATTGGAAGGTTTTTGTAAGTAAACCCTTTATGAAATATATAAACCTTTCTTAATGTAATAAGCGAGGTATCTGAAAAAAAACGCAACTTTTAAAAAGGAAATACTCCGAATTATCTGATTCAGGAGCTTCCACTTTAAATAATGGGTTCTGCCTCCCTTGTTTCCATTGGGTTAAACTGGCTTCAAACAAAATGTGAACGCTCCATGCAAATAAAGGATGATAGATCTGCTTTCTAAATGGCTGTTCAAGAAAATAGCCTAAACCAATCAAAAGATAGAAAGTGGCCTGTCTCCTGTGAATTTAAAAAGGTCACAATCCACTTTTTAGTGTTTTGAGACTTTTAAAATGATTACATTAGCGCTTGGCAGTGCTAAATTATGTTCCTTGCGGACTACCATCCAGTTTCTCTTGGGCCAAGTCCACCTCCTGCTCCGCAAGAGCAACAATTCCCAGCTGGTGGTACCTGGCAGCAGTGCTGGAGAAACGCCATTTATTGACTGGCAGAGTACACCTAGGCTTAGAAAACAAAAGCTGCAGAACACTGCAAGTTTAGGATTCAAAGAGCATAATCAAGAGAAAGACGTCTCATAGAAAATGTTTCTATGAGGAATAGTGTAATCCTACTATGTTTGAGATGCTTTGTAGATTTCAATAGCGCTGCTAAGTCAATTAAAGCATTACAGAGGAATGCAATTCTTGTGAAAGGTTTCAGAAATTCCCGTAATGGGTACGTTTCCGGAGAGGAGAATTCCCTCTTTTTTTTTCTCCTAAAGAGCTGAAGGCTATACAGAATTGGAGAATTATAATACCTTTGGAATCAATGCCTTGTTTTATGGAAAATAAACACAGCCTTCAGGTTATGAAAACCAGATGTATAAGAGGACAACAGATTAAAAAATTAAAGTGCAAGCCGGCGCGGTGGCGCTCCCCTGTAATCCCAGCTACTCCGGACGCTGAGGCGGGAAGATCCTTTGAGCCCAAGTTAAAGTCAGCTTGGGGAACAAAGCAAAAGTGAAATAAAATAATAATAATGGTAATAATGATACCACTTTAAAAATAATAATCTGTAGAGTTGGAATAGAATATAGTAGCCAGTGAAACTGCACGATTGTTGAGGCTTAAAGATAGACCAATCAGAGCTTGTAACGTCATATTTAGCGTCTTCTATCATCCAATCACTGCACTTTACTCACTATAAATAGCAGAGAAGCTCGCGGACGTATTTGCTAGTGTTGGGTGTTACGTTGTGCTGTTTTCTTATCATGGCTCGTACTAAGCAAACTGCTCGGAAGTCTACTGGTGGCAAGGCGCCACGCAAACAGTTGGCCACTAAGGCAGCCCGCAAGAGTGCTCCGGCCACCGGCGGTGTGAAAAAGCCCCACCGCTACCGGCCCGGTACTGTGGCTCTGCGCGAGATCCGCCGTTATCAGAAGTCCACCGAACTGCTGATTCGTAAACTACCTTTCCAGCGCCTAGTGCGCGAGATTGCGCAGGACTTTAAAACAGACCTGCGCTTCCAGAGCTCTGCTGTGATGGCTCTGCAGGAGGCGTGTGAGGCCTACTTAGTTGGGCTGTTTGAGGACACTAACCTGTGCGCCATCCACGCCAAGCGCGTCACTATAATGCCCAAGGACATCCAGCTCGCTCGCCGCATCCGCGGAGAGCGGGCATGATTACTCCGGCAACTCTGACGGTCCAATCAAAGGCTCTTTTCAGAGCCACCACCTTTTCAAGTAAGGTAGCTGTAAGAAGCCAATCTAAGACGAAAGGGAATGCATTGGGAGCACTTTACGTTTTGATGTTTGCCACTGAAGGCTTCAAAACCATTCGATTTTGGCTGGTCACTGTGACGCGCCTGTGATTCAAGCACTTTGGGAGGCTGAGGCGGGCGGATCACCAGAGGTCAAGAGTTTGGGATCAGCCTGGCCAATATGGCCGAACCCAGTCTACGAAAAATACAATAACACGATGGGCGTGATGGCGAGCGCCTGTAATCCCAACTACACTCGGGAGGCTGAGGCAGGAGAATCGCTTGAACCTGGGAGGCACAGGTTTCAGGGAGTCGAGATCGCGGTAATGTACTCCAGCCTGGGCGACAGCGAGACTCAGTCTCAAAAGAAAAACATTCGACTTAAAATAGTTATGGAGTCTGAATGGGTTTGTATTTCTTAACCCAGTTCCTCAAAGCCCGTAGCTCTGTTAATAAAAGCCATTGGTCAAGCCAGCTTGGTCCCACCCCCGTCTCCCCACCCTCCCCCAACCGCCGCTCCCGCCACTTCCTGGGGCTTGGAGGAGGAGTAAGGGAGGGGACTGTAGGCGTCATATTTCCCGCCTGCGCGCTTTTCATTCTGTGTCCGCTGGGGGTGGGGGAAGGGGTAACGTTCGGTTACCCCTAAACGTAAAGATCGGTTCCCCTATTCTCTCTCTCTGGTTAATTCTTAACCCAGTTCCTCAAAGCCTGTAGTTCTGTTAAGAAAATAAAAGTCATTGGTCAAGCCAGCTTGGTCCCACCCCCGTCTCCCCACCCTACCCCAACCGCTGCTCCCGCCACTGCCTGGGGCTTGTAGGAGGGGTTGAGGGAGGGGACTGTAGGCGTCACATTTCCCGCCTGCGCGCTTTTCATTCTGTGTCCGCTGGGGGTGGGGGAGGGGTAACGTAGATATATAAAGATCGGTTCCCCTGTTCTCTCTCACTTGCTCTTGGTTCACTTCTTACGAAGTCATGTCTGGACGTGGTAAGGGCGGGAAGGGTTTGGGTAAGGGGGGTGCCAAGCGCCACCGCAAGGTGTTGCGCGACAACATCCAGGGCATCACCAAGCCGGCCATCCGGCGTCTGGCCCGGCGTGGAGGTGTCAAGAGGATCTCTGGTCTGATCTACGAGGAGACTCGCGGGGTGCTCAAGGTGTTTTTGGAGAACGTGATCCGTGACGCTGTCACCTATACGGAACACGCCAAGCGCAAGACGGTCACTGCTATGGACGTGGTCTACGCGCTCAAGCGCCAGGGACGCACGCTTTATGGCTTTGGCGGCTAAGGTTGCTGCTTTCTCCCCAGCTTGCGTTTCTGAACCAAAGGCCCTTTTCAGGGCCGCCCAACTAAACAAAAGAAGAGCTGTATCCATCAAGCCAAGAAGCTCAATGTATAGTTAATGTGAATGATAATGAGCTGACATACTAGAAAGGAAAGGTTACTGGAACTGCAAGTTTGCCCTTCACTCACTAGATATGGGTAGGGGAGCAAAGATATTCCAACTCTGAAGAGTGAGTGGGAAAAACATTGAGTTAAAAATTTGTGTTAGTTTCCAAGGGACAAAGAGAAGCGCTGCCCAATCAGTGAGCGCCATTCGTAGCTGTCAACCAATCAGAACTGATAAGCTAATATTTCCTGAGGCAAGCCAGAGAGTCGGAGGGGAAGCTAAAAAGCTTATTGAGAAAGGACAAAACCCTGTTTTAGTAAAATATTTTTTTTTTTTTTACTAATTTTTATTTTTTAGCGATTAGAAAATGAAATCAGAGACTTTTAAGTATCCCTCAATCATGTACTGAGAGCAATACTCAATTTATTGCCACCAATACAATTTGCCTCGATTTAAAAGATCCTGAAATTTGAAACCCCATTTAGACTACTGGAATACCTAGGACACTAAATTCAGGGGCGATTAAAATCTGGTTTAGAGAGAAAAGTCACCTTTTTCAGTGTTACCGGGCCTTCAGCAGTTAGCCTTTTTCCCCCCCTTTACGTAGAAATTGGAATTTGGGTGATAGAAATATTCTGAAATTAAATTGTGATGATGGTTGTACAACTAAGTAAACATGGTAAAATTCATTGAATTGTACCTAAAGTGGGCAAATTTTATGGTATATTAAATATCAATAAAGCTGATTTCTTTATATACATACATACTTTTATATATGCAGAGAGAGAAATGATGCAGGCAGGGTGGCAGGACATGAGGTTGGTAGCATAGGCAATGTTGGTCTGTGAAGGGCCACCTGTGCTAAACCTGGAAGCCTGGGGTTTGTCCAATTAAGTCATTGTAGCCACAGTTTTAAACGATGTTCCTGATGCAGTTATGTGTTCAGTAGTACATCTAGCTTCAGAACTCAGCTGGAAAACAGATGTGAACTTGAGATTAGCTAATAGGGAAATATATTACTCTCATCTGAGTAAATATTCACAAATGCCTCTCATTGTGCTCATTGTTATAGAGGACTGATTTCGGCCTCACTACGTTAGCTTCAGTGATGGATTCCTCTGTATTTTGAGGTCCTGTTTTCCACCTGACAGTTTTCATCCAGCATTTCTTGAGTACCCAGCTTGGCTTAATTTAAAACAAGTACCCAGCTTGGTTTAATTTAAAACTGACAATGGAGAGAATTCATAGCTGCATCCTGAAATCAGAGGAGCAAAAATGAGCTTAGTATGGAGTGTGGGTCATTTTATGCCTTTCTTAGCTGGTATTTTAAAGATATTTATTGATCTCGTATGCCAGATATTGTTGTAGACATTGGGGTACATAAGTTAGCAAATTTTAATTCCTTTTCCTGAATTCCAGAGTCAATGTAGAGGGGTGTGTGGATATAGAATACCCATATGGGAGCTATAGCTGCTGTAACAATAGCCATGACTAGCTCCTGTTATGTTTTGCCTGGCCTTTTTAGCTCATAGCATTGCTGATAGGTCATACTCATCTTAGGCATACTCACCACCACCTTGGGCCTTCTTCAATCCTAACACTCATGCAGTCCTTGTTCAGAACGAAGATAATGTTACTTAATTTGCAGCCCCTAGACTAACCCCCCAGATTTTCTAAAGAGAAACTGCACACTGATTGCTTCAGGCAGTGGCAGGTCAAGGAATGAGAGATGGGGAATTGATTGTGTTAGCATTCTAGTGGGCTTAGTGGGGAGCCTGGAGACTTACATAGAAGATTCAAGCATTCATTCATTCAACAAACCTCTATAAACTACCTGTTAAATGTCAGCCCTGTTCTGTTTGTTAAATATATTGTTACATATATAGTTATAGGTGGGGAAATTATATATATATATGCTATTGATAGTTATATACCATATGCTAAATGAGCAGAAAAGCACATTATTTTACAAAGGATGATTATGGGAGGTCTCTTTCTTAAGGTTGGTATTTGAGGAGAGGCTTGAATGAGATGAGATCTAGAGCTATTCAGATATCCAGGATAAGACCCTTCTAGGGAGAAAAAATAAATATAAAGGTGCTGATGCTGGAAATGCTTGGTCCATTCCAGAAACAGCTAGGAGGTCAGTGAAAAGAAAGAATTGGGAAGAGAATGAGGTCAGAGGGTAGCCAGAGTACAGATCTAGTAGGGACTCCTAAGTAGGTTGAGAAACTCATCCTAGTTTGCTTGGGACTTTCTAAGTTTCATCACTGAAAGTCCTACACCCTGAGAAACCCCTGAGAGTCAGGCAAACTGTAATGATTGGTCATCTTACTTGTAGGCTATGATAAGGATGCTGGATTTTATTATGAAGGTGATGGAAAGCCACTGGAATGTTTTCAGCAGACAGTGGACATAATACCTTTAAAAAGGATCACTGTTGCTGCTGGATAGAGAAAAAATTGTATGATAGGGGGATTAAAAGTGAAAACAAAGACCAGTTAGGGCTCACTGTGGTCGTTCAGACAAACCGCCATGGCAGCTTGCTCCTAGAGAAGCAGCAGAGGAAACAATGAAAGGTATTCTAATTGATTTTCGACAGAGCTGACTGCATTGGATGAAAGTTTTAAGCAGCTCAGGACAAACAAGATTGCACAATTCCTGGCCCAAGCTGCTTGAAGAATGGAGTTCTACTGATTGACATGACAAATATCAGAGGAAGAACAGACTTGGTGTTTATGTATAAACATATTTATTTTGGACAAGTTTGAGATGCCCATTAGATATTCAAATAGATACATCAAATATGCAGTTGTATATAAGTCTAGAGATTTAAGGTCAGGGAGATGGTTTATAATTGCAAACATTTATTTAGAGACACAGTTTCACTCTTGTCTCCCAGTCCTAAGTGTAATAGCACGATCTCAGCTCACTGCAACCTCTGCCTCCAGGGTTCAAGCTATTCTCCTGTCTCGCCCTCCCGAATAGTTGGGATTACAGTCGCCCGCAACCATGCCGAGCTAATTTTTTTTAAAGTAGAGACGGGGTTTCACATTGTTGGCCAGGTTTGTCTCGAACCTGTGATTTCAGGTGATCCACCCGCCTCAGCTTTCCAAAGTACTGGAATTACAGGCGTGAGCCACCGTGCCGGGCCTATTTTTCTTAAGCTCTATGTTTCGTTCTGAAGCTTGAAGTGGGTGGAAGCAAACTGATAGAATTTGGAGAGGTGGTTAGGCAACCTGGGATTGAGAAACAACCGGAAGCTGCCACTATCACAGGCTTTGGCATTGCTAGAAGTTAACGTGACACTTACAGCTAGGCCTTGGTGTTCTGTTGAACATAAACTATTTCACAGAACACAGAGCTTGTAAGTGGTGAGGCTAGTTGAGTTAGCCGAGAAAAGGAGTCCAAGAACTGAGCCAGAATACACCAGAGTGTGTAGTGGAGTACAGTTTTCTCATTCTTTAGTAGGGCTATGTAGAGATACTCTATTTTATGGATATACAGATCACACTCTAGTCCCTTCTGATGAAAACTTTACAGTTCCCACTCATTTACTACTGCAAACAATGCTGTACTACATTATGTTTCAGTTTTTAGCCGTCTCATCCGGTCTCAGCATTTATCTGCTGATGTCTCCCACATTTTTATCTCCAGCTCAGACCTCTCACCCGAACTCACTCAACTATCTATTCACTATGTCCTCCTGTGGGGAGAGGCTTGTTAGCAAAGTAACCAGACAACAAAGTTATTTTTTTGCTGAAGTAGCCCTCTATGTATTTGTTACTAAATCAAAGATGCTGAATATTTGGCTGACTTCTAAATCTGGTCACCTAACTTTGAAAACTTCCTAGGTCGTACAGTTTGAAACTTGCACAATTAAAAAAATCAGTTTTGGAATTTCCAATTTAAGGCAGGAATAGAAGACCGTTGGGTTGACAGCTACTGTGAATATGCAAGAGTCATCGAAGAATCCTGTATCAGAAGCCGCTTCCATTTTATAGCTACTGCCACGGACCTTGGAGTCAGAGGAAATGTGAGTCCTTATTTATAAAACAGACTCCCTTAGTCTACTAAGTGGGAATTTACAAACTGCGTAGGCAGCCTGCCTAGGACAGCCTCCAGCCTGAGGACTGAAAATAGCAAAGCAGCTTTAACTGCCAGTCTTACTCGGGGGAAAGGGTAGGTGACATCACTCAGCACGACGCCAAGCTCAACTAAAAATGGAAGTAAAGCCTTCTGGCGCTACGGGCAGGGGGGCGGTTGAGGGCAGGTGTTACCAGAGAGGCTAAATGTACAGATCTTGCTGACGTTGCTTAAGTCAGATACGCCTGGGAAACACCTGACATCTATTTTAATCCACTTAATCACTTGCAGCCGGCTGGCATCTTAAGACTCCCGTACAAATAATGCAATTTGTTTTTAAAACTAAAAAGCTTGAACGACTCACTATCGGACTCGCGTTGCACCGTTAAGTTCCTTTAGTGTCAAAACCATAGCATTAAACTTCATAGCTCGCTTATCCCAGAGACCGCGTTTGCTCAGCTGACTTCTGCTTCAGCAGCCGCTCAGACCTAAGAACCTGGTCTCTCCCAACCGGCCTGTAGAAGTTGTTCATACTAGGCGAAGTGATTGAGTAAAGCTGAGATTTTCCGAAACAATACGATCACAGCTCTTTCTGAGAGGAAGTGGGCGGCCCTGAAAAGGGCCATTGGACGGAAAACTGACTAAAATATTAACCGCCGAAACCGTATAGAGTGCGTCCTTGGCGCTTGAGCGCGTAAACCACATCCATAGCAGTGACAGTCTTGCGCTTGGCGTGCTCCGTATAGGTCACGGCGTCCCGGATCACGTTCTCCAGAAAAACCTTGAGAACACCTCGGGTCTCCTCGTAAATCAAACCGGAGATCCGTTTAACCCCACCACGCCTAGCAAGGCGCCGAATAGCCGGCTTAGTGATGCCTTGGATGTTATCCCGCAGCACTTTCCGGTGGCGCTTGGCGCCTCCCTTACCCAAACCTTTGCCGCCTTTGCCGCGACCAGACATAGTCAACCAAGTCTGAACAGAGAGAAGAGTACAAAAACAAAGCAAGCTACGAGCATTTATACACGAACATCGGACCTTATTGAGAACTGAAAGCGGGAGCGAGGATAAGGAGGCGTTGCTGCCTCACCCTTTGCTCCGCCCCTCGTGGGGCAGTGACCTAAGGACTGTGAGAGACAACACAATAGTTTCACTTTTTAATCCCTTTAGTTTTCCACTGCCGTTTACGACACTACTATTTGAATCTGAAGCTATACCCTCGACTGAAAATTTTAATAAGGGCTTATATTAAGAACTTTCATTAATATGCCAGAGTGGTAGACTTTTTAAGTCTTTCAAGTGCTTGAAGACACATTGACTATTTAAAGGTACTTAAAAGAGCAGGTGTGAAAAGATCACTCTGGCCTCCTGTTTTCTTGAAATCTGACCTGTTTCTTAGAAGCAGTAGCTGAGATTCTCATATGAACGATGTTCTCACTGTACTTTAAAAAAAGCAACATTCTTCTCAAGGATGGGAGGCTAAGGCCAAGAGAATTCTGTACAAACCTTGCACTAGCACTTGCTGGTTGCTTTTCTACCCAATTACATATTCTAGCCTTTGCTTTAGCGCATTTTTACACTTTTACTATTTGTCCAATTCATTATATAAGTAACTAACTGCTTTTTTGGGCCTTCATTTCCTTATGAGAGCACCTGTGTCATGTAAAACCTGTATTAAATAAATGCATATACCTTTCTCCTGTTAATCTGTTTTATATTAATTTAATTTGCTGGTCCAGCCAGAGCCCTAAGAGGATGGGGGTGGAGTTTTGCTGTCCTTCACACTGTACTGTCTCATTCAGAAGAGGGTGATTGTTAGCTATGTTACATTGCAACCATGCCTTCTTCTGTAAATCGGGTTATGATGATAGTCAGGGAACTTTTAATTAGCTAATGTGAACGAGGCATGAGAACAGAGACTGTGGAAAAGAAATAAATATTACATAATATGGTTTAATTTTAGATATAACTACTTTAAAAATCTGCCCAGAGTTGGGATATTGTCCTGAACTCTCGTTTTTGGGTTTTTACTCCCAACACCATATCGCTAGCAGCAACTATGTGTGTATTAGTAAGGACTGTTTTTTTTAAAATCATAGCCTGTAATAACGTACAAGGTGTTGACAGATTTTTTGCTTTTCGTATGTGACATGTTAAAACTGTCTGAAAATATTCCTTTGTTCTCTTTTCCAAGGTGCATAATCATAGCAGCCTTTGTGCTTTCCTATAGCCAAGCCTGGAGTGTAGTTCAAATCTCCATACACGCTTCTCACTGTTGTTTTAAATTCTGAAAACATTCGTAAATCACTTCTATTGGAAAAACTGGAAGGGCTACTGCTAAATTTTTAAGTCTGAAAAATGCACCCCGAACTTGACTTCCTTGTCTGAGAATCTTAGCCTTTTCACCCAAATCTAACAAACCAAAACTGATTTTAGGCTTCAACAGTGTCAGGCCTCTGAGCCCAGGCTAAGCCACCATATCCCCAGCGACCTGCACGTATACATTCAGATGACCTGAAGCAACTGAAGATCCACAGAAGTGAAAATAGCTTAACTGATGACATTCCACCATTGTGATTTATTTCTGCCCCACCCTAACAGACCTATGTACTTTATAGTCTCCTTAAGAAGTTTCTTTGCAATTTTCCCAACCCTTGAGAACGTACTTTGTGAGATCCATCCCCTGCCCCCAAAACATTGCTCTTACCTCCACCACCAATCCCAAAACCTATAAGAACTCATGATAATCCCACCACCTTTGCTGACTCCTTTTTCGGACTCAGCCCGCCTACACCCAGGTGAAATAAACAGCCATGTTGCTCACACAAAGCCTATTTGGTGATCTCTTCACACGGACCCGTGAAACAAACAGCATTAGCTATAAACTTCAGCCTGCAGCATAACATCACTTTGTGATGACTAGGCAGGAAAAACCCTGTTTAACTGTTTCAGGTGCGTCGCTGTGAAGAGACCACCGAACAGGGTTTGTGTGACCAACAAGGCTGTTTATTTCACCTGGGTGCAGGCAGGCTGAGTCCAAAAAGAGAGTCAGTGAAGGGGGATAGGGGTGCGGCCGTTTTACAAAATTTGGGTAGGGAGTGGAAAATTACAGTCAAAGGGGGTTGTTTTCTGGCTGGCAGGGGTGGGGGTCACAAGGTGCTCAGTGGGGGAGCTTTTGAGTTAGGATGAGCCAGGAGAAGGAATTTCACAAGGTAATGTCATCAGTTAAGGCAGGAACAGGCCATTTTCACTTCCTTTGTGATTCTTCAGTTACTTCAGGACATCTGGATGTATACGTGGAGGCCACAGGGTGTATGATGGTTTAGCTTGGGCTCCGAGGCCCGACAAACTGAACAACTGGGAACAATCAACAGTTAATGCACACAATATGTTATAGGGAGGCAAAATTTTACCTCTACTCTGTTAGGGTCTCCAACTGGACCTGATATTTAATTTGCCATAAAACAGATTAGCAGAACGAAAGCATACAAATGTATGTAATGTAAATTTTATGGGACAGGAGAACCCTCATAAGTGAAGACCCAAAGAAATGGCAAAAACTAAATGCTTTCATATTAAGTTAAAGAGAGGCAATTGTGAGAAAGTAAACCATATGGGGAGATTAAAGGAAAATAGGATTATTTTAACAAGGTTTGTTTGTGTATAGAAGTCTCTCGGCTATGACTCTCTGCTGTGTTTGTGCAGAATTATCTCATCTATGACTCTGCTGAAAAATCTCTTTTCTCCTGGTAAAAGGAGAGCATTTTTCACATTGGAATTTTTATCTCCTGTTTTTCAGAAAGAAAGGGTTAGAAGAATTCTCTTCTTGAATTGCTGTTTTTGAAGTGCCTTTAGCTCAAAAGAATCCTGATCCCACAGTGGTCTATTTTTGGATGTTATATTCTGCAAACACCACCCCCTTTTTGTCTCCAATCTCACCTTAATTACTCCTCTGATAAAAAACAATCGATTCTTAATATAATGATATTAAAATGTTCACGAATATAAAATGCTCAATAAATTTTCTTTCACAAATGAGAATTTCATCCATTCTTTTTTTTTTTTTTTTTTTTTTGAGACGGAATCTGGCTCTGTCGCCCAGGCTGGAGTGCAATGGCGTGATCTCTACTCACTACAAGCTCCGCCTCCTGGGTTCATGCCATTCTCCTGCTGCAGCCTCCCGAGTAGCTGGTACTACAGGCGCCCACCACCACGCCCGGCTAATTTTTTGTATTTTTAGTAGAGACGGGGTTTCATCGTGTTAGCCAAGATGGTCTCGATCTCCTCACCTCCCAAAGTGCTGGGATTACAGGCGTGAGCTACCGTGCCCGGCCCATTCTTTAAGTATCAACTGTAAATGAAGAGTTACAGCAGAATCCTTGTTCTGTTGAGGAGAGGGCAAAGAATGTAAGTGAGGGAGTGAACAGCTGGACTGAGCTACCACCCCCAGTCCATCTGATCCTCACAGTAATATCACTTTATTATTTTATGCTATTGGCCAGACCCCGTACCTCCAACACTTTTTCCTACAGATAAAGAAAATATAAAAAGTCAAGCACTGTCCATCAGATCCAGCACATCTATAACTGGAAAAAACAAAATACTTTACCTTCAGCTGGGCCCAGAGCTTGGGGGTAGTCACCTTGGCATAGACCAAGTCCATTGGCATCTCTAACATACTCTGTCTATGGATAACAAATGTCTGTGCCAGGTAGAGTCGCTTGTATAAGAGTCAAGAAAAACAAAATATAAAACACACAGGCATATTCATTTTCATAATTTTTAAAATGCAAATATTACTTTGTAAACCAAACACTGCTTTATTAAAAGCTGGAACACAAGTGAATTTAAGTAAACAATGCAATTCAAACTTAATATTTTGTGTGTGTGGTTTGTTGTTGTTGACAGTTGGTCAGGTGATTTTAGTATGGTACATCAATTTACATTCTAGATGTAGGCCAAGAAAGAATGTTAGGTGTAAAAAATATTGTAAAAAAGAATGTGAGGCAAGGTCTTTGGAATTAGTAGTTGTAATGTTCGACAATCTGTGGTTGTTTTAAAGTTAGTTTGTAAAATGTGATCTAAAAGTTATATGATAAAAAAACTACAATCATAAAATATTCAAATTAAATTTTAAACATTACTTTTGTTTACATTCAGTATTCCCATCCCTATAAATTTTCTTCCAGTATTCAACCCCCAACCTCCAGAAAACCGAAAAGCAAGATCAACAGAAAGAAAATGGTTAAAATTTATAAATTCTAGATTTTAATAGATAACTACAGGCAAGAAGTAGTGGGAAAAAAAATGTGGCATGTCATGGTGCATAGTCCTAGAGGAGACAAAGCAATGCAACCAGCTAGACTATTTACAAGCAAAGCCACACATATAAAATAATTAATATATAAGGAATTAAATTATGCTTGGTCGACAGATTGACAGATGAAAAGTGGGTAGCTAGCTATGGATAAAATGAGAGCCAGTTAGATCCCTGCCTCACATTTTGCACCAGAATAACTTTCAGGTTAATGTGGACAGCCAAATGAATTAAAAATAAAATTCTTCTAAGCATTTTGAGTAAGACATTGGAAGTCGCGAGACATAACTTTTCAATCTTTTGAAAGCTTCACAGAAGAGCCTAGTAAGCGCCAGTTAACCACTTGCCTGGTTTTTCCCTTATATTCTTAAGGCCTTAGAACGTTGTTTTAAAAAATGCTAATAATAGCAAGCTAGAGGCCTGAATGATGGACAGGTGGACTTATACAGCTTCTCCTCCCCAAATAGCACCTAAGCAGCTCAGAAATAGTCTACACTGCCACAGCTTCTCCTCCCCAAATAGCACCTAAGAAGCTCAGAAATAGTCTACATTGCCAAACGGGTCAAACCACATTTCTGTTAGTGAACTTAAGAGCATAGTCTAATGCTTTCTGGGGATCCTTGGTTTGGTGTTGTCAAGTTAGTTATCACAGCTACTTTCGTTGGAATAATTGGGTGGCTCTGAAAAGAGCCTTTGGGTTTTAGGACTGATCAAACTGTAACTTTAGGTTTACGCTCTCTCTCCGCGAATGCGGCGAGCAAGCTGTATATCCTTGGGCATAATAGTCACCCGCTTGGCATGAATGGCGCAAAGGTTTGTGTCCTCAAAAAGCCCTACCAAGTAGGCCTCGCAAGCCTCTTGCAGTGCCATCACCGCTGAGCTCTGGAACCGAAGGTCGGTCTTGAAGTCCTGGGCGATTTCTCGCACTAGGCGCTGGAACGGCAGCTTCCGGATCAGCAGCTCGGTCGACTTCTGGTAGCGACGGATCTCGCGCAGAGCTACAGTACCCGGGCGGTAACGGTGAGGCTTTTTCACGCCGCCGGTGGCCGGTGCGCTCTTGCGAGCAGCCTTGGTAGCCAGCTGCTTGCGTGGCGCCTTACCGCCCGTGGACTTGCGAGCAGTCTGTTTGGTACGAGCCATGGCAATAAGCAATGAAGCTTGCCTCAAGAGACGTTTGTGAAAGTAAAGAGAGAGCTACTCTTCTTTTATAGAGTCAGACCACCAACTATTGGCCGCAAGAAAATTCAAAAGTCCCCTCGCCCTTCTTGGATTGGTCCATCTCTGTGCCTGGTTGAAGATTAAGAGAGGCTCCTGCTCATTACGGTAGCTACTCTGACGTCATTTTCTTAACCCCTTAGCTGCTATTACACTGTGGCAAGTCTTGTACTGGAAAAGCTTCGTAGTCTTAAAATTTACAACCACACAAAGCAACGCGGAAACCTCCAAGTGTTTCTAGTTAAAATATAAAAAAGAAAAAGAATATTGGAGGCGATTAGGGAAATTTGCATGTGTTCTTTATTTAAAATGATATTTTTCTGGGTGTGGCATGAGTAGTGTGGGCAATTAACAAAACGCTCTTAGCCGGGTGTGGCGGCCCCCGCCTGTAATCCCAGCTACTCGGAAGGCTGTCAAGAGGATCGGTTGAGCCCGAGTTCGAGGTTACAGTGAGCTATTATCACCCCACTGCACTCCAGCTTGGCCGACAGAGGGAGACTCCACCTCAAAACAAAGCAAAACATCCCCCACACTGGAAAAAAGCTCCTTATCTTGGAAATACATGCTGAAATGTTCAGTGGTAATGTGTACGCTCTCAATTGTGTATGCCATCAATTACTAGAGCAAATGGTGTGACATTTTCAAACTGTTTTACCGTGTGGGGTATGCGTGTTTTGCTTAACACTTCCATTAAAAATACTTAAGGAGTGCACCCATGGGTATAATTTCCTTCCTCCAAAATGTAACTGCTGTGTGTGAAACTTAGCGAGGATCACCCGTGTTTTTTGTGCTGCATGGCATTTCTCCTACATATGTAGAGTTCCTGAAAAGGTTTCCATAGATCTAGATTTCTGCAGGACAAATTACTAAAAGTGCCACACGAAAACCATCAAAAACACCTCAAAACATCTGTGCGGGCTGCATAATACAAAGCATAACAGCTCATTTAACGGAAGTCGTAGGTGGCTCTGAAAAGAGCCTTTGTTGTTAGGCTGATTTCGTCTGCTGACAGTGTATGAAGCGTTAACACTTCACTTTCCCTTGGCCTTATGATGACTCTCAGTCTTCTTAGGCAGCAGTACCGCCTGAATATTAGGCAGAACGCCGCCCTGGGCGATGGTCACACGCCCCAAGAGCTTATTAAGCTCCTCGTCGTTGCGGATGGCTAACTGCAGGTGGCGCGGGATGATGCGGGTCTTCTTGTTGTCGCGAGCCGCATTGCCCGCCAGCTCCAGGATCTCGGCGGTCAGGTACTCAAGCACCGCCGCCAGATACACTGGCGCGCCAGCCCCGACGCGCTCGGAGTAGTTGCCTTTGCGGAGCAGGCGGTGCACCCGGCCCACAGGGAACTGCAAACCTGCACGAGAAGAACGAGTCTTAGCCTTGGCACGGGCTTTGCCGCCTTGTTTGCCGCGACCAGACATAGCTAGTTCAGCTAAAATAAAAAAATGCCCACAAGAAAATGTAACGAGAATATGTTAGGAGAGAAGGCAGAGAAGCATTTATACTAACTGGAGGTAGGCTGTGGGGAATTCTCCCATTGGCTAATTTCAAATACCCAATGGGAAATCAGAATCTGCATCCTTCATTTGCATGTAATCCTTCCATCTGGTGTAAGGTTTGTGTTTGATTCAAACCCCAGTATGGCTTGAGGAGCCTTCGACTTGAATGCTAACAATAATTGACCCAGTTAGGATTTTGTCAAAATATCTTTTTTAAGCATGAGTGGAGGTTTTGTTCTGGTTATTTTGACTTTTAGCCGCTAGTGCTTTACCGGGATTGTGACTCATGGTTTTGGAAAGGAGTGGACTCCGACCAATTTCTAAATAGATATTTAAGAGGTCCTTCAAACCGGGCGCGGTGGCTCATTCCCGTAATCCCAGCACTTTGGGAGGCCGAGGAGGGCGGGCCAAGCGTTCGAGACCAGCGTGGACAACATGGAGAAACCCTGTCTCCAGTAAAATACCAAAAAAGAAGGGGGAAAAAAAAAAAGAAAGAAAAGACGGGCTTGGTAGTTAGTGCACGCTTGTAGTTACAGTTACCCGAGAAGCTGAGGTGGGAGGATCGCTTGAACCGGAGAGGCGGAGGTTGCAGTGAGTTCAGTTAGAGCCACCACACTCCAGCGTGGGCGACAGAGCCAGGAGGCTGTTTCAAAGAAAAAAAAGGTTGGGTGGGGGGGAAGGAAGAAAAGGGAATACCTCAAATCCCAGCTGTAGAAGCTTATAAGCTCTCTGATTCATAAGGGAAAGAGAAGGGGATGTAAGCAACTTAGGGGAGAGTATATGATTCGGGAGAAAAATAAATGGGTGTTTCAAAGAATAGGTGACAGCTGTGACAAAGTCTGTTTAGATGGTGTTAACCGCCAGTCTCCTCTCCTGTGATACAGTTAATCTTCTCTGGTTGATGAGATTCCCCAGGGAAGTGAATCTTAACTAAATTTCTTTTTGAATTTTTTTTTAATTTTTGAAATTTTTGATAACAGGAGTTCAGAGAAAGCTCCTCCCTGAATCTCCTAAGTGCCCTCAGTTCAAAGAAATCAGCATAACAAAGTGGCATACTTTTGAGTTGCATTTCCTGAACTTTTTCATAACACTGAATGAGGAGTCTCTGGAATCTTTCAGGAAATGAGAGAACAAACATTCCATAACACAGAAATACTCAAAATGGGATTATCATCATAAAAGTGTTTCTCTGACCTTCTTCTGCCTTCCTGTCTCTAAGTCCCATTCTCTGCAAAGGCTAGCCATAGAAACCAGAATTCCTCCTGAAGGTATGCTATACAAACCAGAACTCCTTTTCCCCAGAGCCAGCCATAAAACTTAAAAATATTACTCTAACCGACCTTGTTTGCCCGTAGGTCATAAGACCCCCTCATTCTAAAAGAGGGTCTTGTCCCATAACCAGAAGGAAAGAATGCTGCACTGAGAGGTCAAGAAGAATCTTGACACACAAGCCTTGCGGGACCTCCCTACTCAGTCTGTTAGCATTCGATGTACCCTATACAGCTGTTTATATTGTTGAACCTAAGCATAAAAATGGGCAATTTCCCCTGTATCTTTTCATTCTAAAATTTCTGGCAAAATTATGATGAAATAAATGTATATGCCTTTTCTCCAATTAATCTGTGTTTTGCCAGTAATTTTTAGTAAACCTTGGGAGCGCAAAGGTGAAGTTTTTCCTTGGCTCGAACAGTATTATTACAGCCACTGTCTCCCTCTCATGTTGAGGAACCTAAAATCAAGAGAGATTGCCTAGAGACATCTTGGTGTTTTTCCTTTTATATTCCATGAGATAGGAGCAGGTGGGGTATAGATGAAGGTGGATTAATTATTCCAGGAATTTCTGAGGTATCTACGACTTGTATCTTTGGTCTACTTATACTGAAACAGAATGGCAGAAGGAAAAAGAGACACAGGTGTAAGAAAATCTGCTCCTGAACGGGCACGGTGGCTCATGCCTGTAATCCCAACACTTTGGGAGGCTGAGGCATGCGGATCACTTGAGGTCAGGAGTTCATAACCAACCTGGCCAACATGGTGAAACCCCAGGCTTTACTAAAAATACAAAACATTAGCTGGGCATGGTGGTGGGAACCTGTAATCCCAGCTACTCCGTAGGCTGAAGCAGGAGAATCGCTTGAACCCTGGAGACGGAGGTTGCAGCGAGCAGAGATCGCGCCAATGCACTCCAGCCTGAGCAAAAGCGAAACTACCTCCCAAAAAAAAAAAAAAATCTGCTCCTAAGCCAATACTGTCACAGAACTATGGATTTGATGCAGAGAAACTGTGAGGAAACTAAAAGTGCTGATTTTTAGTTTCTTTTTTGCCTTTTCCCAAGTCTTCTGACTCTGGTGATATTTTTCCCTTCACAATATTCAACCTCCCTTTTCAAAGTGATAATGATCTTCTCCCTCAACAATAGCAGTAAACATCAGTAACCACTGGCTCATTTTCTTAGAAAAGGTGCAAGATTCATGATGAAGATGTTAAAAAGTTATCTCAGATACTGCCCTAAAGAGATTATACTCTGAGAAGGGAGGACTTACATACCTGAAGATTAAATAGCAGTGCACATTCTGCATACAAAATAAAGACTTTGAGCAATATATCATACAAAAGCACATAGAAAAGAAGATTGATCACTGTAAATTAGAAGAAGTTAGAGAGTTCATGAGGGAGGTGTATATCCAGCATTAGTTCAGCATATATTTACTGAAAACCTGCTAAGTGCCAGAGAGAGTTCTAGGTGCAGGGAACATAGCAGTGAAAAAGCAGACAACCTGTTTCCTTAGGGTGCTACTTGTCTTGTAGGAGGAGGTGCACAATAAGGTAAATACATAGTGAAAATGTAGAGATAAGTGATGAGTGCCATGCAGAAAAATACAGAAAGGGGTTAAGAAAAAAGAATAGGAATAAGGAGGAAAAGTTTCATCAGGAGAATGTCATTTGAATTCAGACCTGAAAGGAAGTGAAGAAGCCAGCCAAGTAGGAAGGATAAATACTTCAATACAATACTGGATGTGTTCGAAGCCAAGAAAATGTCCGGAACCAAGGGTAAGAAGGTACAGCTATTGTAATTTCCTGAACAAATCGTAGGCCATTTTGGAAAGAGCCCTGGATATGTACAGGGCTAGATAAAATTGAAACCAAGATTAACGGTAGCTTCAGAAACTCAGACTAGAAAGCAGGAGTACATCCAGTCACAATATCAGTAATCTATATGCCACTGGTTCATGGATGAGAAAAACTCTTCTCATCCAAGTTACCTTGAATTAAGCAAACCAACAAGCGCCTGGCATGTGCTATTAGCAAAGCAACTTGATGGTAGTCCTTTCAGTAAGTGCCTCAAACAGTACATTTTAGGCACTTGCCTTTAAAAAACATACGAAAGGCAGATATTGGGGAGGGAAGTATTGGGGATTATTTATTCCATATAAATATAAGAGGAAAATAAGTTGTTTCCCAATAACAACTCCAACACCAGGAGTAGAGAAACCAAGACAATCTGATGCCTCGTGGTTTGCAAAAACAGTAAAAAAATATATATATATTAATTGCATAATATAATTCACCCTTGATCACTCTCCAAATCAGTGCCCACTAGCTACAAGTAGCTACTGTGAAGTTGAAAAAGGGTACTTCAGATTGAGCTATGCTATAAATATGAAATAGACTTAGTGTGTTAGTTCATTCTTGCATTACTGTAAGGGAATCCCTGAGACTGACTAATTTATAAAGAAAAGTAATTTTTTTTGGCTCATGATTCTGCAGGCTGTGCAGGAGGTGTGGTGCAGGTATCTGCTACTGGCAAGGCCTCAGGAAACATCCAATCATGGTGGAAGGTGAAGAGGGAGTAGGCATATCATATGGTGAGAGTTGAGCAAGAGAGATGGGGGAGGTGTCACACTCTTTTAAAGAACCAGATTACATTTCAACATGAGATTTAGAAGGGACAAATATCCAAACCATATCACTTAGTATGAAGAAAGAATGTAACACATCTCACTAATAAGTATGCATATTGAAAACATGTTATAATGACATTTTGACTATAAAATTTAAAAAATATACTATTGAAGATATTCAAAAATTTAAAAATACATATATAATTTGTAGTACATTTCTATTGGACAGTGGAACCTCTAGCAATGTTCCAAATGTGGCCTGTATATGTGTATGATGTAGGAGTGATCAGTCACGTTAAGATGATCATAATATAGTTACTTAGTCCATTTTGTGATACTATAACAGAATACCACAGACTGGCTAACTTCTAAAGAAAAGAAATTTATTTCCTACTGTTCTAGAACCTGGGAAGCTAAGGGCATGGCATTATGGCATTAGTATCTGGTGAGGGCCTTCTTACTGCATCATAACATGTTGAGAGAGCAAGAGTATGTGTGTCACCTCAGGTGTCTCTTCCTTTTCTTATAAAGCCACCAGTCTAAAGGAAATGAAAATATTTTACCACAAAATATATTTCTTTGACATATTTTGAAATGGCTGCTGCTTGGCCAGCAGGCAGAAATGGGCGTGCAAAACTGTTTTAAATGGGAAAAATTTTACGTCTGTAGAGAATCTCCATTAATGCAGCCATGCCTCCTCCCCTTTCTGTACCTTTCTCCAGATCCAGGAGAGACTGAGAGTCTGACACTTAAAAATCGTAAAAGAAACATTTACCATCTATTCTTTCTGAGGGAGGCTTTACCTACGTAACAAGGCCACCTTTGCAAGCCAAACCTCTTTTGCCTCCCATAACCTGTTTTACCAGAATCTAAGCCCCAATTCTTTCTGTGATCTAAAAATGGTATATAAGTGTCTGTAACTCATTGGGAAGTTAGGTAATTAATTCTGAATGCTCCCACGTAGACACGTTAAATAATTGGGTATGCCTTTTTACCTATTAATCAATCTGCCTTGTCAGGGATTTCTGGCAAACATTTAGTGGACCAAGAGACTATGGCCCCCACACATGAACTTAAGCCCTAAGATATCAATAATTGCATTAAATGTGTATGGTGTAAATACGCCAATAAAAAAACAGTGTGGCTGGGCACCTGGGCTCACGCCTGTAATCCTAGCACTTTGGGAGGCCGAGGTGGGCAAATCACGAGGTCAGGAGTTTGAGACAAGCCTGGCCAACATAGTGAAACCCCGTCTCTACTAAAAGTACAAAAATTAGCTGGACGTGGTGGCGCACGGCTGTAATCCCAGCTACTCAGGAGGCTGAGGCAGGAAAATTCCTTGAACTCAGGAGGCAGAGGTTGCAGTGAGCTGAGACTGTGCCACTGCACTCCAGCTTAGACAACAAGAGTGAAATTCCGTCTCAAAAAAAACCCAAACAAACTGTTTGGCCCAGTGGATAACAATGAATGCCCCAACTCTACACTGTCTGCAAGACTCTCACTTCAAATATAAACATAATGCAGGTTGAAATTAAAGACTACAAAAAAGATAAGCCATATAAACATCAGCCCCAAACTGCAAGAGTATCTGTATTAATATCTGTGATCTGAAAGACCGAAATAGATGCCCCTATACCAACTAAGACAGACTCTAAGATTAAGGAAACAAAGTTACCTACTGGTTGAGCGTTCACAGCTTGGCTGGTATGGCAAATTCCTAAATTCCAAAGATTACAAAAAACTCACACTTTCTAAATTCTGTAACTATAGGAGCTATCAGAAGCCCTCCTAACTCTGATTTACAGTCCAGGCCACTACAACTCTGATTGGAGAGAGGACCGGCTTGACACACATTCTAGTCTTACACCTAACTGTAGACCTTAAGCCATTTTCAGCCAGCTTATGGAGGCAGCACATAAACTGTCTTTGTTCCTATAGTTCACCTTTTGATGTAAAGAGCTAAATTCTACCTCATTTTAACCTAAAATTCCACCTCAAAGTGAACATAGGAGGTATGTTACACATGTGTTTATCCATTGTGAATGCACTTGGCATCCCTCATAATATATATAGCTGTCCCCCCAAACCTGCTGAATATGTATGACTCTATTGTGTGATATATATCCCATGAGGCATAAAAATAACCAACCTGCTCCTTCTCCTCAAAGACAGAGTAATTTTGGCAGGTTCTGGGACCATCTTTTCCTGGCTTGCAAATTAGTATTGCCAGTAAATCTCTCTTTCTACTATTTAGCCATCCTGGTGGTCTTTTGAATGATATATCAGATAAGTATATTTCAGAGCAAAGAAAATTACTAGGAACAGACAGGGATATTACATAATGATAACAGGATCAATCCAATACGAAAAACAAGCAATTCTAAATGTATATGCACCAAATAACAGAACTGCAAAATATGTGTAGCAAAAACTGATAGAACCAAAAGGAGAAACAGACACATACATGATTTAAAGGTAGAGATTTCAACACCCCTCCCCCAATAATTGATAGAACAACAAAACAAAAAAATTACCAAGTGTATAGAACTCAGTAAGTGGCTGCATTACTTGTCGTAATCTGTAAAACAATGGTAATAATAGTACTCACACTTCTTGAGTTTTGGTGAAGATTGAATGAATTTATACTTGCAAAGAACTTAGAAATGTGGCCAGGCGCAGTGGCTCATGCCTGTAATCCCAGCACTTTGGGAGGCCGAGGCGGGCAGATCACCTGAGGTCAGGAGTTCGAGATCAGTCTGACCAACATGGAGAAACCTTGTCTTTAACAAAAATACAAAATTAGCCCGGCGTGGTGGTGCATGCCTGTAGCCCCAGTGACTGGGGAGGCTGAGGCAGGATAATTGCTTGAACTCTGGAGGCGGAGGTTGCGGTGAGCTGAGATCTCACCATTGCACTCCAGCCTGGTTGACAGAGAAAGACTCAGTCTCAAAAAAAAAAAAAAAAAGATTAGCAAGAGAAAAGCATACAAATGTATTTAATATAACTTTTATGTTACATGCGACCCTTCAGAAATGAAAACTCGATGGAAGCAGGAAACCTGTGTATTTTTATGGTAAGTTTAGTGAAATGCATAGTTGTGGATTAGTACGATTGACAGTAGGCATATGATCTAATGGTAATAAACTGAGGGGACATAGGAAGGCTTGTTTGTTAATTACCTATTAACGATCAGCAGACTATCAACAGAGACAGCAAAACATCCTAGTTTTGAGTTAGAAGACCTAGGTTTTTGTATTGGCTTGTCAGTTATGGGTATTGTTTTAGATAAAACATCAAGTATTCTTGATTTCTTATTTTAAAAAAGAAGGAAGGAAAGAAAGAAGGAAAAAGGAGAAGAAAAGTGTCAGAGTCATTTGAACCAAAGTGACTCCATTTTGAGTGTGGGCTAGGAAAATGAGGCTGAGACTTGCTGGGCTGCATTCCCAGAAAGTCAATCATTCCTAGCTTCTAGATGTTTATGGTTAAGGGAACAAATAAATAATGTTTACTAAACAGACTCAGACCTGGGAGTGTCCAGATATCCCTATATCTGGAGAACAAAGGCATTCCTAATTTTGTTTAAAGATAATAATGTCTATTCTTGCAAAATATAGTAACTAAGAAAATCAATCCTTTATCACAACCCCGTGTAGCAGAGCACATCTCCCCATATATACAAGCATTGTACCTACAGGGTGGATGCCTTCCTCCTCTTACTTTCCGGAATGTCCTGCTCTGTCTATGGAGTCCTTTCACCACTTTACTTTCTTAGTAAACTTGCATTTACTTTGCACTGCGGACTCGCCCTGAAGTCTTTCTTGCGCGGGATCCAAGAACCCTCTCTTGGGGTCTGGATGGGGACCTCTTTCCTGTAACATATTTCTGGCCACCACAGAAGGGACTATAATACAGAAACCCTGACCCTACAGCTACCTTTGGATAAGTGTTGGAGTTCTGTAACAAAGGAAGAAAGCAGGCAGGCAAAAAATTTATGAAAGAACATATGACAAAATAATATCTGCTTCAAAACTTAATATTTTTAAATTTTTTTTTTAATGAGTCAGGCTGTTTTTTTTTGGGGTGGTGTGTCTCATTCTGTCGCTCAGGTTGTCACGGCGCGATCTTGGCTTGCTGCAACCTCTACCTCCCGGGCTCAAGTAATCCTCCCACCTCAGCCTCTCTAGTAACTGGAACTATAGGCATATGCCACAACGCCCAGCTAATTTTTTGTAGAGACTGGATTTCGCCATGTTGCCCAGGCTGGTCTCGAATTGTGAGCTCAAGTGGTCTGCCTGACTTAAGTCTCCCAAAGTGCTGGGATTACAGGCATGATGCACCTGGCCCAAAAGTTCATTTTGCAAATGCTTATATTAGCAGGTCTCACTTCTCCGGGGAAAGATCCTAAATATCAGTTTCTTAAACTGCAGCCTCAACTGCTTAGTAATGTTTTGGGGGAGGTGGTCGTTTTATAATTAAAAAAAAAATCATAGATTTTTTTAAACACAAGCATCTCTTTCACAACGGTAGTTTGCATATATAGTACTAGGATGGGAAGTGCTTCACTTACAGTTGTTCACTGACATTTTGTGTGGCATCCAGATTTTTTTTTATTTTTGAGACAGGGTCTGTCCTCACCCAGGCTGGAGTGCAGTGGTGTCATCACAGCTTACTGCAACCTCCACCTTCCAGGCTCAAATGATCCTCCCACTTCAACCTCCCCAGTAGTTGGGACTACAGAAATGTGCCACCAGGCCTGGTTAATTTTTAAATTTTTGGTGGAGACAGACTCACTAAGTTGCCCAGACTGGTCTTGAGCTCCTAGGCTCAAGTGATCCTCCCACCTTGGCCTCCCAAAGTGCTGGTATTACAGGCGTGAGCTGCACCACACCCGGCCCAGAACCTCTTTTAAAAGATTCTTAAAAATTAAATCTGGGCCGGGCGCGGTGACTCATTCCTATGATCTCAGCACTTTGGGAGGCCAAGGCGGGAGGATCACTTGAGCCCAGGAGTTCACTTGACCAGCCTGGGCAACATAGTAAGACCCTTTGCCTCCACAAAATACTAAAAAATTAACTGGGTGTGGTGGCGCATTTCTGTAGTCCCAGCTACTCAAGGGGCTGAAGTTAGAGGATAGCTTGAGCTGGAGAAGTCGAGGCTGCAGTGAGCTATGATGGCGCCTGGCCAACAGAGCAAGACCATTTCTCAAAACAGAAACAATAACTGTTTGAGAAACTTTATTTCTTCATCCGAAGACACTGCTGAATGTCACCTACATATAATGCCAGTAAGTTCACTTAAAATACTCCCCTCCGATTCCCCCATCCCCTCCTACTTAGTGTGCAATCAACAGGTTCTTTTCTTCTTCCATTTCTTCCCCCAGCCCCAGACCAAGAATTGGCCCATTAAGTCCTCCTCAACTAGTGCCCTTCCTGCCTTTTTCTAGCTATATTGTTTTCGGCGTCCCGGATTTCTTGAAAAATGCTTCCCTCTCCAAGTGGGGCCTTCCTAGTATCTTTGCAGTAGGGCCAGTTGGGGAAAGGCACAAAATTCAAACCCTTTTGTATCTCGCAGAGCTGGAAATCCGAAGGTTAAGTGGCCTAAGAAATGGGAATCTGGATTTCTGGGATGCATGAAATATGTAAACTACATAGCTGTTGTCATTGATAAACAATTATAACGCAAAACTACTGCGATTTCATTTTGTGGAACGGGAAATATTCCCTACAAAGGCGCCCGGGAAATCAGACTTCGCTTACTGTTTCCTCAATACTGGAGGAAATCTTTCCTTCTTACTGGAGGTAAGAATTTACAGCATAGGCAAACTGCAGGAGCAAATATCCCTACACGCCCTTTTGTCGCTTACACTTTTCTGCTCCCCTCCCCCTCATCTCAAGCGGTTAACGGCTAATGACCCCCATAGAAACACTGTACCCTGAATTGCATTACTTGTTTCATTATCCAGAAAGGAAAGTTTTCTGTGCTAGACCAGGGAGGGAGTAGTGACCGTATCAAATGAATTACAACTAGTACCCGAAGGCTTACCCAGGGGGAACATATAAGTTTGCTAAAGGCAGATGAGAAAGAGCGCCATCACCCCCCCTAACGTTTGTATTTTTAATAGAGACCATGTTGGCCGGGCTAGTCTCGAACTTCTGACGTCAAGTGATCCGCCCGCCTCGGCCTCCCAAAATGCTGGGATTAAAGGCGACAGCCACGGCGGGCTGCCCCAAGTTAACCTTGGCTCTAAAACTTGCCTTCGCTAACATTCTAGTTGATCCTCTAGAACTGAAGCAGAACAGAGGCAGCACCACCTTAAGAAATTGTGGTTATAGCTCTCTTTGCGACAAAGTAGGTGGCTCTGAAAAGAGCCTTTGGGTTTGGAGGTGCTTACATAAGCACTTACTTGGAGCTAGTGTACTTGGTAACAGCCTTGGTGCCCTCGGACACAGCATGCTTAGCCAGTTCCCCGGGCAGCAGCAGGCGCACAGCCGTCTGGATCTCCCTGGAGGTGATGGTCGAGCGCTTGTTGTAGTGCGCCAGGCGGGAAGCTTCGCCCGCGATGCGCTCGAAGATGTCATTGACGAAGGAATTCATGATCCCCATGGCCTTGGAGGAGATGCCGGTGTCGGGGTGGACCTGCTTCAGAACCTTGTACACATAGATGGAATAGCTCTCCTTTCGGCTGCGCTTACGCTTCTTACCATCCTTCTTCTGCGCCTTAGTGATGGCCTTCTTAGAGCCCTTTTTAGGGGCAGGAGCAGACTTAGAGGGTTCAGGCATCGCTATTCCTAAAACAAAACAAAAAAGCTACCAACACTCTCCACCAGAGTAGTAGGGAGAACAGTTCAGAGCCCACGTATTTATAGTCCTGAGATTCAAATGACGGTTTAAGATTCCTCACTTCTGATTGGATAAAAGAAATACAGTTTCACTGAGGGGTGGGGTTTATGCAAATATGGAATTTATGGACTCTCTTTCTATTGGATAAAGCAGGAAACATAACTGACCAATAGGATAACTCTCTATTGCAGCCTTGCAGTTTGTACAGAAGTATTTCTTCAGGCGCCATTCCATCTTGCTTGTCTTTTACAGTTTTCAGAGGTCGCTGTGTTTGGACGTGGAAAACGGAGGTAAAGCACAAAGTTGTTCATCGGTACCAGCCTTGCAGTTTCTAGTAGCGCAGGGTCCATTGTCTTTTTCGAAAGGGCAATTATTCTGAGCCTGTGGAAGCCGGCGCGCCGCTGTACTTAGAATACCTGGCCGCCGATATCCTGGAGCTGACACGCAGCGCCATACGTGACAAGACCCACAGCATCCCCCGCCACCTGCAGCTGGCCTTCCGCAACGACGAGCAGCTCAACAAGCTGCTGGGCAAAGTCACTATTACTCAGGGAGGCGTCCTGGCCAATATTCAGGCCGTCCTGTTGCAAAAATAACCGAGAACCACGATAAGGCCAAAAGCAAGTAAAGTCCACTCAAACCAGAAAACGTACCTTAAACTTGCTACGGCATTTTTCAGAACCGTCCATTGTTTCACAAGAAAGGATGGCAACTTGCTTGTGTTTCGGGTACCTTTTGGTTTTGGTTTGGATTGGTTTGAGACAGAGTTTCGCTGTCACCCAGGCTGGAATGCTGCCGCGCGATATCGGCTCACTGCAACCTCCACCCCGCGGCTTCACCAGGTTCTCATGCCTCAGCCTCCTTTGTACCTGGGATTACAGGCGTCTGCTACCACGCCTAGCCAATTTTTGTATTTTTATTCGAGACGGGGTTTTCACCATTTTAGCTAGGGTTGTCTTGAACTCCTGGCCTGAAGTGATCCTCCCATCTTGCCCTCCCAAAATGCTGGGATTACAGGCCTAAGCCACGGCCCCCCTAGCCTAATGGTGTTTAAAAATTAAGTTTCGAGGAAACACCTTCCTTAAGAAACTACATTTTAGAGGATACAAAGTGAAACTAAAGCCAACCAAAATAAGACAGTTTGAGAACAGGCAGGGTGGGAATGTGACTTGGACTTAGAAAACGAAGGATAAGGAAACTGGCTGTTGACCAGTAACAAAATAGCATGGAATTCTCATTCTCTGAATGTAAGTAGTTTCCGACATGAGGCGGTCAACGTTTCTGGTGGTTTAGTGAGTGTTCACCAGCATTGATAACTTTAAAGACTGTCAGGAATGCAGAATTTCAAGTCCCACGCAAACTTACTGAATCGGAATTTACATTAAAAAAATCCTTAGATGCTTTGTTATGTACCCTGTTCTTTGGGACTGGATGAACTAGAATTTTAGACAATTTATCCCTGCAGATAACAAACAAAAAGGACATGATGGGCGGTGAGGCGATTCATCCAATAAGATTGCCTAGTAATGAACCAATCAGTCTGGTCACTCTTCAGCCAATGGTTTTATCGCGCGGGACTTTTGAAATATTACAGAACCAATCAGAATGTTTCTAACTATATTTAAAGACCGCTTGCTCTCAGTTCAGTACGCTTTTGTGTGTGGGGGTCATTGCAGATGGCTCGTACAAAGCAAACAGCTCGCAAGTCCACCGGCGGCAAAGCGCCGCGGAAGCAGCTTGCTACTAAAGCGGCGCGTAAGAGCGCTCCGGCCACAGGTGGGGTGAAGAAGCCTCACCGCTACCGGCCCGGTACCGTGGCTTTGCGCGAAATTCGCCGCTACCAGAAGTCCACCGAATTGCTGATCCGGAAGCTGCCGTTCCAGCGCCTGGTGCGAGAAATCGCGCAGGACTTCAAAACCGACCTGCGCTTCCAGAGCTCTGCGGTGATGGCGCTGCAGGAGGCTTGCGAGGCCTACCTGGTGGGGCTCTTCGAAGACACTAATCTGTGCGCTATTCACGCCAAACGCGTCACCATCATGCCCAAAGACATACAACTGGCACGTCGCATCCGTGGGGAAAGGGCATAAGTCTGCTTATTGCTTCCTAATTGAAAAGGCTCTTTTCAGAGCCACTTACAATTTCACTTAAAAACAGTTGTAACCAATTCGGTAGTTCCCAGGAGATTTAAAGGATTTTTAAAGATAAGTACACACGCTTTGAATAACTGCAGACGAATACATCAGGCCTTTTCTTTTGGGGCGGTTTTACTGCGAGAAAGCCAGTTGAGTCACTTTTTTGCCCTTGTTAAAAAAATCCTAGGGATCTTGTCTTTTTAACATGTATATGTGTATACTTAACATTTCGAAACAGGCTTCTGGTGAAACTTCTTTTAATCCACCTGCCAATTTTAGGTCTGATGGCATTTTTATTAAAGCTATCGTAAGGACAATGTGCGTATAGTTACCCAAAGTTCACAAAAACATTAATACCCCAAAAATCAGTATTGGTATTGGGCTATTGGAACTGGAGTCAGAGCTCAGGTGGAAAAAACTGGCCTCAGTACACACAGCCAGAAGTCCACTAAATTTATGCAACAAATACATATGACTTGCGTATGATCATCTAAAGATTATGCAGTCATCCTTAAAATCCAGGAGATTTGAGAATGAAGGGTAGCAACTGCAAAGCTCTTTTACCCATGTCCTCTTTTAATAAATATTTAATGTAAAATTGAAAATGCAAATGTACTGCAAACTGTAAATATTAATTTATAATGGGAAAATAAAATCAAATTCCAATTTTATAAAAGCTGACAAAACAATAGCCATCACAAAATTCAGAAAATAGCAAATTGTATTAATTTCTGAATATGACACAACGATGTATATTTTCATATAGTTTTGACTGAATACTCTCCATCTTCAGATCGAAATTATTTTGTAATATTGTCTATAGGTAATGGAAATAGAATCCAATCTTTCTTCCAGGGTGGCTATTGATAATATGTTTTCTTGATAACTTAGAAGAGTTTCAGTTTCAAAACACATTGTTGGTAATGTCAAGTAAGTTTTTAGGATTGTTTTCAAATTTGGAAAATCCTCTGTCAAGTTCCTTTCACATGTAAGTTGTAAACTTTGTAAGAATTCTTTCCAGACTAGCTTCTGGCTCTATACATTTCTACTCTCCACTAGACACTCACTCAGTGCTGGGAAGGTGTTTTGAATACTTAGATGTCATAACATTTTATCTAGACCTGTATCTTGCCAGGAATTTAGGTGAGTTATTCCAGTGAGCCATTCTTACATCAGATTGGCTGGCAGCAAATGAACTACACATGAATACATACGCAAATCACGTAACTTATTACCCCCATACTAGATACATCTTCAACTAAACTTTCTCTTACTCAAATTCCAAATATTTTCATCAGGATTCCAACATAATCAGACAATGATGAATTTTAATAAAAAGGAAGATTGAGTGGAAATAACAGTCTTAACCTTCTGTGATTAAAATACCTTAATACTGCAAATTTTAAAAAGAGAGAGACAAACTAACACATTTGTAGGGCCCCTCTCAGCACCTTGGAAGTACAGGCCCTTACACTTGTGTTTAATTAGCTTCAGGATAAATCTGCCTCAGATCACTGGCCAAATTATACGTGGCCGCCTTTAGCATCCTACCACTCTATTCAAATACATCTCTGCAGGAGCACCCTATGAGTTGAGAATTACTCTTCTGGGATGACCACTGTTTGCATGATGCTTTGGATGCTGGTGCTGTTCTCAGAAGAAATACCAGAAGGAGAAAGCTTAGTCAGGAGAATATAAAGTCAACCTTAAGCAATTTGAACACTTCAGTGGTTAAGTGAATTCCCTGGGACAACTTTGTAAGCTGTTATAACTTTATTTGTATTGAATATTACCTTCTTTTAGAGAGGACAATGTGTAGAAGGAAATAATAATAAATAAAGGATTCATTAATACTATAAACTATAAACTGTCATTGATAGTTTTCCATGGATCAAGTACTACATGAAGTGGTTGGTCTGAATTATTGTGTAAAATTCTTACTTCGGCATTGTAATGCAAATTATCTCACTGCCTCCATTTTATAGAAGTGGAGTTTCAGCCTCAGGAATTTCAGTAAATTGACCAAATTCTTACTACTAGCAGATAATCATTGCCAGGCAGTGTCACACTTTAACATCTTCTAATCAATAAGATAACCCTGAAATTGATTATCATATATAATTTCCTTCTCATATATAGTTTCATATTATCATATATAGTTTCCTTTGTTTCAGAAATTGTACTGCCTCAGGGTGGATGAGGAGACATGGTGGTGGCCTGGCCTAAGTATTGTTGGAATCCTCTAGTCAGAGGCCTGATGTAAGGTGAAGTGGACAGTGAAACCGCCTTTGCAAAAATCATAACTGAAAACTATTACAGTGAAAGAGATCTGATCTAACCGACTCCATCTTGCTTCTAACCTCCAAACTGTCCTTTTCATTCCTGAGCTTGGGATTAACTAACTTTGGGAGGAACTTAGTTTATAGTTCTGCTTTGAAACAAAAACAATAACAGCTCTTTCAGAAACAAACCCCTTTCCTGCCCGGGGACCAGACTGCTTTTGCAGGACTAACAAATTAGCCACAAGATTAAAATTATGGTTTACGAGTCATGTAGCTGGAAGCTACAAGATTCTAAACCTCCTCAAATTGCTCCTGGGGATAAAATCACTATTTTAAAACCGATGATCAATGCTTGAGCTATTTTGCAGAACCTGAACACAATGGATCAGCTGGCACCACCCAGATAGATAAACTGGATTATCTGGTCTTGTGACCCCCACCCCACCACCCCAAGGAACTAATTTACAACAAGAGGACAGCTTAGACTTCCTATAATTTCATCTCTGACCCAACCAATCAGCACTCCGGACTCACTGGTCCCCTACAATCAAATTAGTCTTAAAAACTTTGCTCCGCAAATTCTCAAGGAGACTGTTTTGAGCAATAATAAAACTCTAGTCTCCTGTACAGCTGGCTCCTTGTTGCAATTCCCCTGTCTTGATAAATCAGCTCTGCCTAGGCAGCAGACAAGGAGAGTCCGTTAGGTGGTTACAATAGGACAAGCCAATAAAATATAAAGCATTAGAGACACTCCCAGGGTTTCAGGAACAGGTCAGAAAAATTGGTTTTTTTTTTAAAAAAACATCTGGATTCTGATGCAGAGCAAGTATTTGCTTGTGTCTTCCCAGAGTATAAAAGCTGTCCTGTCCAAGATGGTAGCCACTAATCATACGTGACTATTAAGCATTGAAATGTGGCTACTCCAAACTGAGATGTGCTTTAAGTGTAAAATACACACCAGATTTCAAAGACCTAGTAAAATAACAAAGTAAAAACTCAATGTTTTAATATTAGATACCTTGTTGAAACAATTTTTGATTACATTGGATTAAAATCATTAAAATAGATTTCACTTTTTTTTTTAACTTTTTAAAATGTGGCTACTAAAAAATTTAAAATTGCGTATGTGGCCCCTATGTTTCTGAGGAACAGTGCCAGGATATAGAGGATAGTTATATTCACTCACAGATCATAAACTAGCAAAAAGTATGAAATACTTAATAATTTAATTTTTTACCTTAACTTTTGGCATATTCCACAGATCTGTAGTATACTTGAGTGTGATAGCTTAGGAATAAATATGATTGGAACTCATTCATGTTTAGAGACAAACGGTGTCAAACTGAGAACCAGGCAGATACACCTAATCTGAAAATGACCCCAAAGTAAAGTGGTTGAAGAAATTAAATCCCAAAGATTCTTGGTGAAGAATGTTGAAGTTTTCATCAGTATATCCATATTCAAATGGAGATTAAAGAAAGGAAAATAAGGCCAGGCGCCGTGGTTCATACCTGTAATCCCAGCACTGTGGGAGGCTAAAAGGCAGGCAGATCACGAGGTCAGGAGTTCAAGACCAGCCTGGCCAACATAGTGAAACCCCGTCTCTAATAAAAATACAAAAATTAGCTGGGCATGGTGGCATGTGCCTGTGGTCCCAGCTACTAAGGAGGCTGAGGCAGGAGAATCGAGATCATGCCACTGCCCATCAGCCCAGGCAACAGTGCGAGACTCCGTCTCAAAAAAAAATTTAAAAAAAATCAAAATAAAAGAATTGTGGACTGACAACTGTGGGTTAAGCATCAGTTCTATTAAGAAGGGCTAACTTGAAGATGAATCTTTTGAAAATACATTTTGACTCCAGCTCTTTAGAGGAACTAGGTTACCTTGATGTGAAATTCTTCAAATAAAAATTTATTAACTTTAAATGAAAAAAAAAAACTGCACATACACACACACACACACACAGAGCTAACTAGCTACGTCCTCAATGACACCAAGCTTTAGATCTTCATCTCTGAAGTGTGAATGACAATGGCACCTCAAAGTGCTGTGACAAGAATGTGTTTGAAAATAAATATAATCAGCAACAGTGCTTGGCATATTGTAAATAAGTGCTCAAGAAATGCTAGTTTCCAAAGCTGTTGTTGCCACTGTACCCTAAATCCCTATTGTCTTCTGATATCCTTTAGTGATGTAATTCTGTCTTGCAATGGGCCTGTTCATCTCTAGTATGAATTTCAACCACAATGCCTTTTCTACATTTCCCTCAGGCTTACATGGCCAAAATATCCAGAGCTTTGCCTTGGGGTATATAATAAGATATTTCATTTTGTAGCCATGAGAGCACTGTGTATGAAAGTTTGGAATAATGCGCCTGGCACGGTGGCTCACGCCTGTAATCCTAGCACTTTGGGAGGCCGAGGTAGGTGGATCACTGAGGTCAGGAGTTCGAGACGAGCCTGGCCAACATGGCGAAACCCCGTCTCTCCTAAAAATACAAAAAAAATTAGCCGGGCTTGGTGGCAGACACCTGTAATCCCAGTTACTCGGGAGGCTGAGGAGGGAGAATCGCTTGAACCCAGGAAGTGGAGGCTGCAGTGAGCCAAGATTGCACCATTGCACTCCAGCCTGGGTGACAGAGAGAGACTATGTCTCAAAAAAAAAAAGTTCGGAATAACGCATTACAAGTAGCCTCTCTAGTTTTTATGTTACTCATAGTTTTATCACACATGAACAATGTCATAAATTTTCATGGTTGAATTATCAGTTGTTTATGCAATATTCATTGACATTTTTGGCTAATCAGCAGTGTTTCTGGAATTATTTGAATATCATTACTGTTTTCCAAAATTATTTTATAAAACTAATTTAAAAATCAAAAATGATATAATTAATAATGTGAAATTAAATATATGTTTTGAAGAATGTCAGGATGTCACCCCCAAATTATTCTACTTTGGCATAAGAATTATTTTCAACTGAAGGCAATTGAAAATCAACAGGTGTAGGAAGAGTTCTCTGTCTTCTCTTTATCCAAATAATGTAGGGTTTTTCCCTTTGTGAAGGTGACAGAAATTTCCCCTGTAAAAGTGTCCCCAATTGCTACACCAGGAAAAAGAGAGCAACTCTTATCATTAGATGTGGAAGGTTGACACTGAGATGAATCTGCAAAAACAAACCTTACTACAATTATTTCTATCTTTCATTTTATCTTCCATGGTTTTTTATTGCCCACGTATTTCCCAGTCACATTCCCAAATTTGTTATCCCATGAAGTGCAAACTCCCTTTCCTTTGTTGGAATGGTGTATAAGTCTGTGAGTCTAACTGCTTTTTTAAGGTTTCATTTTTTTTCTTTGTGAACTCTGTGCATGTAATATACTAATAAAATTGTATGCTTTTTTTTTCGCATGTTAATCTGTCCTTTGTCACTTAAAGTTGCAAGACCCTACTCAGTGAAACTAACAGTACAGAAAAAAAATGTTTCTTCATTGACAGTTTCAAAACCTAAATAAAACTGAGACAAGAATCTTTTTCATCTTAAAATGGCCAATTTTAATTTCCAAATTAATGGTGCATTAGACCTAAGCCAGTCAGCGAGGTGAACAATTGTGATGGAATAAAACAAAACTAAAGGACATGAACAAAATTGAGAAAACATATGGAAGACTGAATCTAAAGGCCAGGTAGAATTGAAAATTTTTCTAATTTTTAACTCTATAAATTAAATGAATGTGTTTCATTTCACGGCTTTCATCTGTGGAAACATGTTTGCAGAAGACATTCGAGGTTGGGATTAATTGAAAGTATATAACTCAAATAGATTAAGACCCCAAAGGGCATTGAAGGAAAATTAGAAAATCTTCTATTTTTGCTTGGGTTGATTCCTCTCCTGACTCTTAGAGATGATATGAACATCAACTAAATGCGTAGCCATGAAAGTGTCTAAGGGAGAAAGGAACACAGAAGATCAATGTACCATAACTTTATTTTTATTTATTTAGTTTTTTGAGACAGACTCTGGCTTCTGTCGCCCAGGCGGAGTGCAGTGGCATCATCTTAGCTCACTGCAACCTCTGCCTCCCGGGTTCAAGCGATTCTCCTGTTTCTGTCTCCCGAGTAGCTAGGATTACAGGTGTGTGACACCACGCCCAGCTTATTGTGTGTTTTCATGGAGAACTCCTAACCTCAGGTGATCTGCCCAACTCAGCCTCCCAAAGTGCTGGGATTACAGGCGTGAGTCACCGCTTCTGGCTTTTTTTTTTATGACGGAGTCTCGCCGTGTCGCCCAGGCTGGAGTGCAGTGGCGCAATCTCGGCTCACTGCAACCTCCGCTTCCTAGGTTCAAGCAATTCTCTGCCTCAGCTACCCGAGTAGCTGATATTACAGGCGCCTACCACCACGGCTGGCTAATTTTTGTATTTTTAGTAGAGACAGGAGTTCACCATATTGGTAAGGCTAGTCTTGAACTCCTGACCTGTGATCCACCCGCCTCGGCCTACCAAAGTGCTGGGATTACAGGCGTGAGCCACCGCGTCCGGCCTTTTTTTTTCTTTTTAATTGTGTGATGTTGAGATGGAGAAACAGGAGGAGGTGGGAGGGATCTTAATATATATATGGAAAAATAAAAACATGGAATAACCAGGACAATTCTGAAAAAGAAGAATAATGAGAGAAAATTAGCTGTATCAGCTATTCAGCTATTAAAGTCCAGTTATAACATCTCGGTTTATTAAACATGCATTTACATCAGTCTCCCAAAGATAAGGGGAGACTGATGTAAATGCACGTTTGGGGGAGACTGATGTAAATGCATGTTTAATAAACCGCACAACCAGTGGATGCCTGAAACCACAGATACTACTGAACCCTATATACGCTGTTTTTTTCCTATATATACATAGCAATGATTAATTTAATTTATAAATCAGGCACAGTAAGAGATTAGCAATAACTGATAAAACAGAACAATTATGACCACATACTGTAATAAAAATTATTTGAGTCTGGGAACGGTAGCTTACGCCTGTAATCCCAGCACTTTGGCAGGACGAGGTGGGCGGATAACATGAGGTCAGGAGTTCGAGACCAGTCTGGCCAACTTGGTGAAAACCGTCTCTACTAAAAATACAAAAATTAGTCGGGCATGGTGACAGGCCCCTGTAATCTCAGCTACTTGGGAGGCATAGCAGGAGAATCGCTTTAACCCGGGAGGCCAAGATTGCAGCGAGCCAAGATCGTGCGGTAGCACTCCAACCTGGGTGATAGAGGGAAACTCCGTCTTATAAATACATAAATAAAAATATAAATATAAATTATGTGACTGTGATCTCTCTCAAAATAGCTTACCGTTTTACTTGTGATGATGTGAGATGATAGAATGCCTGTGATGAGATAAAGTGAGGTGAATGGAGTAGGCATTGTGAAGTAGCATTAGGCTTGATAAGGTACTACAGATTTAAGTACTAGTTGAACACCTGTCATTTGTCACATAATCATCTCAGTATTAAGGGTAGCACATAGCACAATGTTTAAAACAGTACAATTCTACCTTAAGAACTGTGGGAATGACTAAAGAAATAAAACCGAAACCTGAGACAGTCCAACTGTCCATGAAATTTTAGCCTATTAGCCTATGACAAAAATAGCCAAAATTGATAGGAGTGTGGAGGGTGACACGGGAGGAAGAAGGGGGAAGCAGAAATGAAAGTTCATAAATGGTCTTGGGAGAAAATATGTCCATATATTAAACCTTACACCAAAATAGAGTTCACCATGTAAACCGTGTTGTAATGTAAAATTAACAACACAAAATTACTTAACCCACGGGAGAATGCTTTTTCCTTCTTCCCTGCCTCTGCCTCCCTGTCTCTCTGCTTGCCTCCCTCCCCTTTCTCCCTTTCTTGGGATGAATCCGTGGTCACTATCACTAACAGAGAAATTAACTCACTACATTCATCATTGTGGAGATGGTAGAATAACTGAGCAGCTTATCTCCAGAAGTCCCGGTCCACATAATTTAGGTCTCACCGAAATGTGCCCATCAGATTTTAAAAGAAGCGAATATAAGACGCTAGGTTTTCTGTATTCAGAAGCACCATGGGTGTCAAATAGAGGGAACCATTAACGAAGGCCTTTATTAGAAATGTCTCTCATTTATCCATATACTTTAGTTAATAGTACAAATCGTTCTCCGCGTAGAAACACTTGGACTGCCAAACAAAATACGTTTAAAAGAACTTCGATTTTCAAATGTTGATGTCTGCCTAAACTGAGGATAAGTAACCGTCATGCGAGGACAAAATGGCTGGCTAAAAGTTGTGCTTTCGATACGCTCAAAATCGATACGCTCAAATCTGTCAGTTTAGCGGAACGCTACATGCATGATACGAGAAACAAAAAGCTCCCTAGGTCCACGATTGCCTTGGGTGGAAGAAGGGCTATTGCCGCTGTTTATTCAAATGCATTCCTTTGTTGCCACAGGAATGAGAAATTAACAGCAGAGGAATGTAGGACAAAGGTACCTGCACGCACTCTCCTCCCAGGGCTGGATGTTGCCACTACCTCCAGGAGATATCAACTTGACTACCCACAACACAGAAAGCGTCCGAAATCCCGGACGTTAATATCAAGAGGCAAAACTTTCAAGTCACAGTGAAGCAACACACACGGAATAAGCAACGTCTGCCACCATCCAATTAAAATATAGAATGAAAGTCATGGACTAGAACGACGGACCAACCCAGGAGCAGGGCGGGACTTTTGAATTATTTTTTAGTCCAATCCGGATATCCCTTTAGACGAAGAAACTGGCTCTTGTTTTGCGATCTTTTCTGCCTTTCACAGGCCTGGGGCGTGGCTGACTGCCATCCCAAAACATCCGCCAGCGGGAAACGCCTCGAAGCAGCAGTCAGGGACATGGAAGTCGCAGTAAAGGTTTAAGCGCCATAACCTCACCACGGCCACTCTCCAACCCCCGTTACTTATTTGTCTTATAAGGTTCCCGTTCGACTAACCTTAAGGAGCAGGGTCGAGCAAGAAAAGAAACAAGGGCAACTAACAAAAACAAGTATCCAGCTCTTTTATTGAGATCAGTGGTGGCTCTGAAAAGAGCCTTTTGGGTTTTTTGAAGCAGGCGTCCACCTATTTCTTCTTGGGTGCCGCCTTCTTAGGCTTGACAACCTTGGGCTTGGCGGCCTTGGGCTTCACGGACTTAGCAGCACTTTTGGCAGCTTTCTTGGGCTTCGCAACCTTGGCCTTCTTTGGGCTCTTGGCCACTTTCTTGGTCACAGTGGCTGCGGCCGGCTTCTTCGCCTTCTTCGGTGTTTTCTTAGCGCTCTTCTTCGGGGTAGCGGCGCCAGTCGCCTTCCTAGGCTTCTTAGCTGCCCCAACCGGCTTCTTAGGCTTGGCTGCGCCCACCTTCTTAACCTTGGGCTTGGCTTCGCCGGAGGCTGCCTTCTTGTTGAGTTTGAAGGAACCAGAAGCACCGGTGCCCTTCGTCTGCACCAGAGTGCCCTTGCTCACCAGGCTCTTGAGACCAAGTTTGATTCGGCTGTTATTTTTCTCCACATCATAGCCGGCGGCAGCCAACGCTTTTTTCAAAGCAGCAAGAGAAACCCCGCTGCGCTCTTTAGAGGCTGCCACCGCCTTGGTGATGAGCTCTGACACCGGGGGACCAGATGCCTTACGAGGCGGCCCCCCAGACTTCTTGGCTGTCTTCTTCTTTACGGGGACTTTCTCCGCCGGAGGCGCGGCAGCGGGAGCGACAGGAGCAGTCTCGGACATCTTGAGGATCAACAACTCGGGTACAAGTGGCAAAGCGCCGATGAAACAGCGCTTGGGCAGGGCCGCTGTATATATAGAGCGCAGGAGCGCTCTGATTGGTGCTCTGGTGGCCCGCCTGGCTGGCAGGCTCTGAGCCGCTGCGCTGCTCCCAAGTTGTGTTTGTTCCACCTCACAAAAGGGGAAAAATATTAAAATTCCCCGCACCAAATCACCCGGATTTGGTCAGAAAAGGATCTCAGAAGCCTCGGGCTTCAGGCTTTTCATTTATTTTTTCCACAACCACAAAAACAACGCGTCCAGGCGTCCCCAATTCCCCCAACTCCGAAGGAAGTCTGGGGCAGTCAGAGACCACTTTCTGTTTTTCTTATAAATTACCTGTTCGCTCCTTTGCCCCTGAAAGTTCTTTTTCCCAGGGGTGGTTGGGCATATGCTTCCCTTATTTTTGAAAAAAAAAGCGAAATGGTTTCCACCTAAATTTTCATGATAATTCTGTTTCTTCACAAGGGAAGTAACACAGGTCCTGTGTGAATTCTTCCTGCAGACGCACAGGAACTGTGGACTGGGACAAGGATTCCAGGGCCAGTCCAAAGTAATTAGGGAGGGATGGGAGGGGGTTCATGAGCCTTCGTAGGGTCCGGTGTGGTGGGGGGCTAGAGACTTAAATCTTTGATTTGAAGACATTGAAACCATCAAATCCTTCTTTTCATAGATGGGGGCGGGGCATCCTTTTCACTTCTCTACAGGCGAGAAATTGGGCTCTTTTTAAAAAGCTCTGAGGTCCCCCTCTGAGTTGTGTAAGGCAGGAGGTCTGGCCCTCAAGATAGAGATAATAAAGGAACAAGGGAGATCCCTTAAGCCTGCAAAGAAAGCCAATAGATTTGGCAGTTAGAGGCACTGAGATAAAATGTTTTCAAAGAAAACAGGCATTTATTTATTTATTTATTTTTGTACATTGCAATATTAGAGATGAATTTCAGCCCATGAAAATTAGAGGTTACTTTCAGTAACCACACCTTACACAAGTTACCGTACAGGACAATCTCCAGTTTGAAACTCAAATATATCTTTGAATTGCAAATAAAGCAACTGACTTTAATAAAACAAACTCTTGACTTTTAAGATGAACAATATATTTGAAATTTATTTTTTAAATAGCAAAAATTTACACAGAAAGATAGGAAAAGTACCAGAACATGTAATTTATTATAAGATCTTTTGTTGATGAGCTGAAAATCACCTCTTCTTTTCCCCTCTGAAACTATTCTGTTCTCAAGTTTACTACTTTAAGGTTCACTACTTATTTTACTCTCCGACCCCAAGTAATTGCTATTTTTTTCTAGAGATTAAAGGCAAAGTTGTCTGCCCATACATTTGATATACTTATGGGTTTATATTTAGGGACAAAGGTAATATTACAACTCACCAACAATTTCTACTCAAATACATGTTTTCATGAAAATATGTGTTAGAGAACAGCCTTAGATTGTGGGAAAGTCAAAACGTATCCTATAAATTGAGTTCAATGAAGAATGAGAAGTGAAACATCTTTTAGACTAAGGGTGACCCCCTTGTTTTATTAAATAACATTTGTCCAACATTTGGAAACATTGTCTACTTGTGTGCTTATGTCCTCTGGGAATTAACAGTCTAATGAGATTAGTGATGGATGAATTAGCAGTGGTGGAAAAACACTTTAGACCAGCCATTCCTCAGAGTGACAGGGTATAAGAATTATACAAAATTATGTAAAGTATATAAACAATTGAAGCAGTTGTATCGTACTAATATATTGTAGTAAAAGAAATAATATAAGGCTGGACCCTGTGGCCCAGGCCTGTAATCCCAGCACTTTGGGAGACTCACTGGGGCGGATCACCTGAGGCCAGGAGTTTGAGATCAGCCTAGCCAACATGGTGAAACCCCATCTCTACTAAAAGTACAAAAATTAGCTGAGAGTGGAGGCACTCGGGAGGCTGAGGCAAGAGAATCACTTGAATGCAGGAGGAGGAGGTTGCAGGTTGCAATGAGCCGAGATGACGCCACTATACTCCAGCCTGGGCAACAGAGTGAGACTCAGTAGCAAAAAAAAAAAAAAAAAAAAAAAAAAAAAAGAAAGAAAGAAACAATATAATAACTTGTCACTTAGGCCGGGCTTGGTGGCTCATGCCTGTAATCCCAGCACTTGGGAGCACTTGGGGAGGCTGAGGCGGGCAGATTGCCTGAGGTCAGGAGTTCGAGACCAGCCTGGCCAGCATGGTGAAACCCCATCTCTACTTTAAAAAATACAAAAATTAGCTGGGCACGGTGGCAGGCAACTGTATTACCAGCTACTCGGGAAACTGAGGCAGGAGAATCCCTTGAACCTGGGAGGCGGAGGTTGTAGTTAGCTGAGATTGTATCATTGCACTCCAGCCTGGGCAACAGAGCAAGACTCCGTCTTAAAAGAAAAAAGAAAAAAAAAGAACATGTGATGTAGATCTTATTCTGTACGCAATGACCCCCCTTCTCATTTAAAACTTGGCTAAGTGTATCCACCATGAAAATAGCTATGAGGGGTCTTAATTACCAGGTAACTGGACCTCCTTTCACTATAAATTGGTATCCTGGTTTATAAATCGACACGTAAATTTAATCACTGTGATTCAGTTCTCTAATATGATTTTTCCAGTCAACTCAAGCTAATCACATCTCTTTACATGCAAGTCTGAAGACCTCAAGCCATTAGGACATCCAGCCACACAGAATCTTGTCCCCAACCTCCTGGCAACATGGTGGAGGCCAGAAGACAGAGAAATATGTAACCAAGCCCTTTCTAGATCCCTTGTAAAGTGTGTTGAAAAAGTTATGCAAAACTTAAAAGCCAGGCAAAAATATTTCTCCATATCCTTCCAAGCTATATTAGAGAATTATCTAAAAAGTCTACTTATGGTATACGTGAAGATGTAACGCAATACTAGACAGTAAAAGAGAATGTGAATCACATAAATACTTTCCAAATTTTTTTTTTTTTTTTTGAGACGGAGTCTCGCTCTGTCACCCAGGCTGGAGTGCAGTGCCTTGATCTCACCTCACTGCAACCTCCGCCTCCTCGGGTTCACACCATTCTCCTGCCTCAGCCCCCCAAGTAGCTGGGACTACAGGTGCCCGCCACAACACCCAGCTAATGTTTTTGCATTTTTATTAGAGACGGGGTTTCACTGCGTTAGCCAGGATGGTCTCGATCTCCTGACCTCGCGTGATCGGCCTCCCAAAGTGCTGGGATTACAGGGGTGAGCCACCGTGCCCAGCCATACTTTCCAAATTTCTAGTGGTCAAATTGAAAGAATGAAAAGAAACAAGTAAAATTCATTTTAATATATTTTATTTAACTGTATATATCGAAACTATTATCACTTCAACATATAATAAATAAGCTAAAAAAAAAAAGACAGTTGACATTCTTTTTTAATAATAAATCTTCAGAACCTGGTGTGTATTTTACACTTTTAGAACATTTTAAATCAGACTAGCTACAGTCCAAATGGTCAATGATCACATATAGCTAGTGGTACCTTATTGGACAACACTGTTCTACGTGAAAGTAACTCTGACTTGATGTTTATATTTTATTGGGCCCAGATTATCTAAAAGTAAACATTCACTTGTAGAAGTTTAATAAATTAGTAAGGATTTTGTCATAGAGATGGAAATGAATTCTTAGTATGGAAAAAAATGACCCCAAAAGTTATTATTGTATTGCCTAATAAGACATTAAACAACTTTATATCTGATTTGCCATTCCTCTTCCCGTATTCATTCTTTCCCTGACCAAATACATATTTTGTTCTCCCGTATCTTCCTTTGACCTAATTGTGATTCTGCTTCCTCATTCATTAATGAGTTAAATCATTCTTTGACACATACACAAGCTCACTATATATAGTACATGTATGTCAGTCATGTTTTTAACTTCCTGAATATTGTACTTTGACACTTGGTTGTTCAATTTGTCCTAAGAGCTCTGAATCAGAACCTTTAGAAGCCATTCTGAAAAACTGGAAGATACAAAGTTTTTGACTATCAACTCCCTAGCAACCTGATATCTGGTTGGTGTTCCATGGAAACTGTATTTCTCAAATTTTGAAATAAGATTGAACAAGCCTGTGAGCAACAACAAAAAAAAGTCTATTAGAATGACCTCCAGCCAGGCAGGGTGGCTCACGCCTGTAATCCCAGCACTTTAGGAGGCCAAGGCCGGCGGATCACGAGGTCAGAAGTTTAAGACCAGCCTGACCAACGTGGTGAAATTCTGTCTCTTCTAAAAATACAAAAATTAGCCCAGCATGGTGGCGTCCACCTGTAATCCCAGCTACTCGGAAAGCCAAGGCAGGAGAATCACTTGAACCTGGGAGGCGGAGGTTGCAGTGAGCCGAGATTGCGCCACTGCACTCCAGCCTGGGTAACAGAGTGAGACTCCATTTCAAAAAAAAAAGAATGAACTCCGAGGGAAAGTTCAGATTAAGGATGTGGTCATCCCACTCAAAACTGATGTCCTCAAGAAAGCCACAAACAAATTGAGGACACAGTTAAAATATTGTAATATAATATATTGTGTATTCTTGTGTTTACCACACATCATAAATATTATAGGTTGACTAGTTTTGTTTCATGCCACATTTTTCAGGCTCTGGAAACCCTGGTAGAAAAAGTTAAAAATGCAGAGCAAAATATCAAGTCCAAACAGCAGTAATGGGGCTAGAGAGAGACTCAAACAGCCAAGATACATTCAAAAGAGAGTGAGAGGAGTTGTTGAGACAGGTGTAAGGAATGAGGGTGACAGTTGGTTTTTGTTTCATTTTCTCCTTCTACTACACCAGTTAGAGTTCTTTGTTTTTGGTAGAGACAGGGGTCTCTACCAGGGGTCACTATGTGGCTCAGGCTGGTCTCAAACTCTTGCCACCAAGTGATCCTCCTGCCTCAGCCTCCCAAAGTTTTGAGATTATAGGTGTGAACCACCAAGCCCAACCTTGAGTAAGGCTGCGTCAGCTTTCGGATGTAGC